TTCAGTGAATCTGAGATCTTTAATATTTGAAATAACATGATTTGAAATCAATGTAATAAACACAAATCATGACCAGAAGTAATGCTTTTAGGCAATATGATAACTGTAAAGTTTGATCCTGATCTCAGACACAGTCACACAGTCAGTCTACTTATACATCAATGCTGCAGTCAGTCTGATGAGTGTATAACAGTTTATTTACTCATCTTAAGAAGTAGTTGAATTACTTAAAAAGAAATTCAGTCTGAGATAATGCTATAGTGCAGGCTATTATTACTGTAAGAAATAAACTGGTATATTACTACAGCAAAACTGAACAATCTTTTACAGAGTACTATACTGTAGCAGCTCTACTAGATTTCTCTTATTAAATTAATATCTACACTTCTTAAGATTGAACAGAGAAGAAATGAGACTTATATATCAAATTAATCTGAGACTACTACAATGTTAACTATCAGAGATTTGAATAAGCAGATATTTGAAATGTGAAGACAGTGAAATATAATTTTCTAGTAAGTAACAATTTTTGATAACACTTCATATTATATAGAACTATAATACTAACTTTGAAACAGAACTTGTATACATTGATTACAACTGAAAATCAGGCAAAACTATATACTTATAAAACTGAATTTGATCACTATCTTTAAGATAATCTGACAAATTTACACATTAAATCAATTCTAGAGTTATGAAAAATTGTTAAGAGTATATATTCAACTATTATACTGATGATATGTGATATTCTGACAATTTCATTGACAGAGATAGAAATGAAGTGAAAGTTCAACTCAAGTCAAGATATTTATCACTATCATCAGAAACAATTATAAGAAGAAATAATTAAGAAACTTATAATTATAAAACATAGAATGATCAGACAGTTTAATACCTCTGATCACAGTATATCAGAGAAGTGTAGTTTTCATGAGAAAGTGAAGAATAAACTTGTACAAGAATGTATTTAGTTGTTTCATGAGCATTATCAATAATTATTATCAAATTCTGATTATATAAGTAATCACTGAATGAACTGAATGAGACTGATTTTAATCTTCAGTCTCAGTCTCATTCTGATTTTGAAAGAATGATCATCTTTCACAGTTTATTCTGAGAAATTACTCTTATTTCACTGTTCTTGAATTAAATCTGGTCATTTTTCACACCATTTCTCTCAGAAATGATCCATTTTCAGATTTTTTTGAGGCTTGGTCCTGGTGAGACTCACGCCAAGAAATGTATGAGATCAGACCAAATGGAATCAAATGTGAAATTCATGGTCCCGGCGGTCAGTCTAGTCAGAGTAATATCTCAGCAGTATCTCACTGTCAAGAAAGAGTAATCTACTGATCTTATATAAAAGTAAGATTCTTATATTCATTAATTGAATCTTTCTATAATATATCTGAATAATGTTATAGAGTGATTAAAAATTAGTTTAAATAGTCTGTGAAATGAATGAAATCATCTGCAGAAAAGTAATAAGCTGTGTAAAACTACAATGAGATCTTAATACAACTGAGAGTGTGATAATACTCTTCTCTTTAAGAGTATAGTCTCAATACTCTCAAGATTACTGAATTAGAAGTTATCTTTGTTATATAGTAATAATTATCAATCAATTGACAGTGTATATACTGTGTATAATACAAAGAAATAGATGAGTTTTTCTGCTAACTGTGTAGATCTTCTGTTCTCATCTCTGTTCAAATCAACTGTATAATAAGTGAGTTCTTTATATATTAATTTGAAATGTGAAAAATGTTGTTAATAAGTAACTTACAGATCTTCTATTATATTCTATTCTGTATATGAAATTCTCTGCAGAAGTGATATATTATAGAGACAAAGTTAACAGTAGTAATAAGATTTTTTGAAAAGCTTTCTTTCTCTCTATAATATAATTCTTTTTCTCTTTCTCAATTTGCAATAGTGAGTGTATGAGAGTATCATTCTTGAAAGATAATAGAGGCTTATTCTGACACTTTCTAGTGATTAAATATCTTCATAGTGCAGCTGCAGTCTCTGCAACTATTAAGTAAGCTCAGTTAAAGGCAGAGACAGTAGTATTAATAGACTGTGAGAGTATTACTTTTATTATCATATCTTCTTCTTCTTCTGCATCTCTTACAGCTGTGACAGTAGTAGCTATATCTTGTAGTAAGATATCATTTCTTCTACTAATTAGTTTATCTGTGTTTAGTTCTTTCTCTGCTCTCTCTACTACTGTTATAACACTATTCTCTCTCTTAGTTAACACAGTGATATATCGCCCTGTGTGATCATTTGAAGAGAATCTTGAAGAGAACTTGATTCTGAGAATAGTAGCTTTAAGAAGCTCAATCTATAGTTTCTCTTTCATAATATATCTGAGCTCTGCTCAGAATGCTGCTAAGTTAAGTTCACAAAATTTTATGATTTCTTTATCTTCTCTCTGTAAGAAGGCTTCAGTGCAGTCTCTGATCAGTATTATTATATATCTGCACTGCACTAAGCAGCTGAAGAAAGAGAGAATCTTATACATCTATTTCTTCTCTTACTTCTATTATTTCTATTATATCTGTAATAATAACTTCTATCTTTCTGTAAGTATTATCTCACAGAAAGATGTTGTATCAGCTCTGATAAGAATCTCAGATACTCAAGCAGTACAGAGTGAGAATCTTGAAGCTTTAAGTATTAATGAATTCTGTCAAGACTGAGAAGATCTCTCTTACTTATCTATAAAAGAAGATGAAAGTATAAATCTCTGAGATGAAAAAACACCTCAGAATGACTGATCTTAAGAAGAGATTAATCAGTACTGCTGTTGAAAGTATTACAGAGATCAATCACTGATTGAAGAGAATCTCACTTTAATTAAAACAGATAACTGAGATGTTTTATAAATTAATAAGTTAATACTTTAAGTATCTCTTATACTCTTCTATAGCATGTTTCTCTGCAGTATTACAGTACTAACTTCTCAGCAGACAAAGATACTGATGTCAGAGACTTTAACAGTGAAGAATAAGTTTAATAAGAATGTGATTATTAATGAGTAGAATCTGATTTCACTTTTTACTTTTTCAGTGAGCTGCAGTCTTATTAGAATAGTAGCAGTCTGTGAGTTAATAATATCAATCTTTATTAATTTCAAATATCTCTTTCTTTCCTTATTAACTGCTTCAGGAATTTTACACTTGTGTAGTCTTATTAAACTTCTAAAAATTCTTTGAGAGAAAATAGAAGAAGAGTGCTACAGAGTTCATAAGACACTGACTCACTACTGTAAGATCATCTCTAAAAAAAATTCTTTAAGAAAAAATGAGAAGTTTTAAGCAGTATTTCTTGTTCAACATCTCTGATATGTAATGAGATATTCTTTACTAACTGTCTCATAGCTTGCAATCTCTTTCTCAGCATTTTTCAAATGCTTAAGTGA